GACTTTTGTGTGCTCCCCAGTGTTATCCCTTTGCCCACTAGCCCCACAACCACAGTCCCAGTCCCTTGTCCCTTCCCCCCTAGTGTCACCCCAGCCCCTCTGCAGCTCCCCAGCCCAAACCCTGGGAACAATCCCTGACATCCCCACGGTCCCCTCAGTGCTCCACCACTCTCCAGTCCAAATCCCAGTCCTGTGTTCAGCCTTCTGATGTCCCCCTAGTGCTCCCCAGGAACTCATTCCTGCTACCACAACTCTTTAGACCACTTGTGACCCCAGGGCCTTCAGGAACCTCAGCCAAATTCCCAAAGTCACTCTCTCACCCATCCCAGACTCCTCCTCAGACCTCTCCTAAACCCCAGTCAAGCTCCCAGTCCTGTGACACTTTTGGAGTAACCCCTGGACCACAACCCAAATCTGGGAATCAACCCCTGTCTCCACAATGTCATGCTGGAGCCCCCCGTGGCCCCAGTCTGCAATCCCAGTCCCATGTCCCTCCCTCAAGTGTCCCCAGTGCCCCCCAGGAGCTTGAATTGATATAAGAATAAAGTACACAGGCATTTGGTAGAAAAATCCTAAATTTATGTTTCTAAAGTTGTGAGTAAGAATATGCCTTAAGTAAGTAAGAAACTGTATTGTGTAAGATGGTGAAGGGTCTATAGTACAGAAATGTGATTGAATACAGTAAGTGAAGAGTTTATGAGTTATAATAGAAGTAAAGGCATGCACATGAGTTAGAAGCCAATTGGGTAAAAACATCTGCAGTGCATTGGAAGTGAGTTACGGTGATAGGTTAGAAAAGCAAAATAACGGTCCATTGGATTAGAAAGTTATATAGTGTCTTCAACAAAGAACTTGTGACTACTTTGTGTTATGGCTGACTGTCTGCTCCTCTAAAATCCCATGGCTTCTGAGACTGATGGTTATCTGAGCAATAAATCCTTCTTAGCCCAAGAGTAGTCCCATCTCTTCATTAAAATGGTGGCAATGATAACTGGCAAATGGAATTTCTGAGCTACCATGCCAACATGGGCTCAGGTATCTCCTGGTGTTGGGGAATCCCTTCTTGGGGGGTCCAGAAGTTCTCCTGTCACACCAACAAGGCCGGGGAAGTCACCCAGGTGACTTCCCAACCACTCCTCCAAGAGACCACCTACATGCTCAAGTTGCCTAGAGGGATGTCATTTGATAGGGGACACCAATTGAGGTGTGGCAGCAACTCAGTGAGCAGCTGGGAGAGGGACTGGGGGGAACTTGGGGCATGTGGGACAGTGGGAGAATGGGAGCAGGATTGGAGTGTTGAGGGGGGGTTGTAGCCATGATATTTTCTGTAAAATCCTTTCCTTACAATTTTTTCTCCTGAGAAGCTGAGGCCTCAGACACTGTCTCCCATAGCTTACTCCTAGACAAACTCGCAGGCCGTGGTCTGGACAGGAATACCCTTTGCTGGATTCAGAACTGGCTGGATGGCCGGGCCCAGAGAGTGGTGGTGAATGGTGCTGCATCCAGCTGGCGACCAGTCACCAGTGGTGTCCCTCAGGGGTCTGTGTTGGGACCAGTTCTGTTCAATATTTTTATTGACGACATGGATGAGGGCTTAGAGTCTTTTATTAGTAAATTTGCTGATGATACTAAATTGGGAATGTGTGTAGATCTGCTAGAGGGACGTAGGGCTCTGCAGAAAGATTTGGAATGGTTGGATGCATGGGCAGAATCAAACGGGATGAACTTCAATAAGTCCAAGTGCCGAGTCCTGCACTTTGGCCACAATAACCCCCTGCACCGATATAAGCTGGGGACGGTGTGGCTGGACAGTGCTCAGATGGAAAGGGACCTGGGGGTGCTGGTTGACAGTCGGTTGAACATGAGCCAGCAGTGTGCCCAGGTGACCAAGAAGGCCAATGGCATCCTGGCCAGTATCAGGAATGGTGTGGCCAGCAGGAGCAGGGAGGTCATTCCTCCCCTGTACTCGGCACTGGTGAGGCCTCACCTGGAGTATTGCATCCAGTTCTGGGCCCCTCACTTTAGGAGGGATGTTGAGTTGCTTGAGCGTGTCCAGAGGAGGGCAACGAGGCTGGTAAGGGGCTTGGAGCGCAAGCCATATGAAGAACGACTGAGGGAGCTGGGGTTGTTTAGCCTGGAGAAAAGGGGACTAAGGGGCGACCTCATCACTCTCTACAACTTCCTGAAGGGTGGCTGTGGTGAGTTGGGGGTCGGTCTCTTTCTCCGGGCAACAACAGATAGAACAAGAGGACACAGTCTCAAGCTGCGTCAAGGGAGATGCAAGTTAGAATTAAGAAGGAAGTATTTTACAGAAAGAGTGGTCAGATACTGGAATCATCTACCCAGTGAGGTGGTGGAGTCATCATCCCTCGAGGAGTTCAAAAAAAGACTGGATGTGGCACTTGCTGCCATGATCTAGTTGAATAGTTAGAACATGGGTTGGACTTGATGATCTTATAGGTCTCTTCCAGCCTTGAATTTCTGTGATTCTGTGATTCTGTGAAAATGTAAACAATGATTTTCTGCTGCTGTGGAATGCAACAGGTGCATCTGTGATTGGTCTCATGTGGTTGTTTCTAATTAATGGCCAATCACAGTCAGCTGGCTCAGACTCTCTGTCCAAGCCACAAGCCTTTGTTATCATTCCTTCTTTTTCTATTCTTAGCTAGCCTTCTGATGAAATCCTTTTAGTATCTATTCTTTTAGTATCATTTTAATAGAATATATATAATAAAATAATAAATCAAGCATTCTGAAACATGGAGTCAGATCCTCATCTCTTCCCTCATCCTAAGACCCCTGCAATCACCATCACAGGGGAGGCAAAAGAGGAGAAAGAAAATGAAGTTTCAGTTCTCCTAAAGGCTCTGGGTAGAGTTTAAAGACTGACTGACTAAAGCAAGAAACGGATGTAAAAGTGTGGATATGCAGCATGAACGTGGAGGCGACTAGGAGCAACCACCTTCTTTATTGTGGGCTTTTGGATAAGCAGCCAATTTTCAATCTGTCAAACTCTATCCAGGCCTCACCTCTGGGGCTGAAATTCCTTTCTCAGGAATTAACACCAGGATGCTTTGTCGCAGAACCTCTCATATAACTTTATTGCAAATCTATTTACCCACAGATATTTGTCAATCCCCAAGCTGGTGTGCGCTGGAATGTAGTACAGCCACTCCTTTGGGCAGCTGAATGTTATCAAGGAGTGACAATATTTGTTCTTCATATTTAATCAGAGATCGATGTGTTGTTATTTGACTTTTTTCTTTCCAAATGGCTCCGTGGGCATGAGCAATGCTCAAAGCAGATGGCAAGTGAGTTCCTATGTTTGCTCTTTTTCTCATTGAGAATTCTGGAGCTTTTTGTAACACATCGAGTTCCTCCTCTTGTTCCACATCTTCTTGCAGTTACGGTGAGCAGAGTATGTACCACAATGTTTTGTCCCAAATTGGATTTCCCAGATTTCTTGGATTAGGAGAACAGTTGCTGCTACAGCCCACATTGACCTGGCCCAATCGTGTCTGATTGAGTTGTTTGGAAAAGCACCACACAGGTCACCTGAAGTCTCAGTTGATAGAAACAAAATAGAAAGTTTCAATTTCCCTGAAGGCACTGGATAGAGTTTAAAGACTGACTGGCAAAAGCATGAAAAGGATGAAAATGGATGGAGGATGAAGGATGAACGTGGCTGGAGCCCATGGTGGAACAGATGAAGGAACTGCAGTGAGGATTTTTTGGCAACACAGGAGGATCAGCACCTGTTCAAAGCAAATATTCCAGGTGAGGTCATCTGGCATATTGGGGCACTCAGTGAAAATGGCCCCCAGAGACCCCATTTTTATGGCCTTCCAGTACAATGAAAGAACTTCCAGAGAAAGGTGGAGGCATGCAAATTATTTCTTAAGAAAATGCTGTTTCTGTATGAGATAAGAAGCTGATTGTAATGAATATTTATAGTTCTGGTGGATAAATACCCCATGGCAATGTCCCCCCTGAGCTGCAGGACCAGGAGAGATCTGCTGTGAGTCCGAGCTGATCAAGAATTCCAGCTTTCTGCTACCTCCAGCTCCATCAGGGATTTCACTCCAGCCGATTTTGGTATCAGGGGATGGGGGACACTGGGGACACATGAGGGAGGGACACATGACTGGGATCACAGAGTGGGGTCTTGGGGGGCTCCAGCCAGAGGTTTTGGAGACAGGGGTTGATCCCCAGATTTGGGTTGGGGTCCTGGGGTGACACCAAAAGTGTCATGGGACTGGGAGCTTGACTGGTGTGTGGGAGAGGGCTGAGAGGCACACTGGGGTGTGTGAGGGAGTGGCTTTAGGAATTTGGATGAGGTTCCTGAGGGCCCTGGGGTCACAAGTGGTCTAAAGAGTTGTGGTATCAGGAATGAGTTCCAGGGGAGCATTGGGGTGACACTGGAAGGGTAAACACAGGACTGAGATTAGAACTGTGGGTTGGTGGAGCACTGAGGGGACCGTGGGGATGTCAGGGATTGTTCCCAGGGTTTGGGCTGGGGAACTGCAGAGGGTCTGGGGTAACACAAGGGGGTAAGGGATACTGGGCTGGGAGTAGGGTTATTGGGCTAGTTGGCACAGAAACGACACTGGAAGGGTCACGGAAATGGGATTCAGGAGGTCACTGCTGGGGGAACAGGGAGTTACCTCTGAATGTGGTTTAAGATCCTGGCAGTCATTAGGGGGAAACCACTGGTTGGGGATATAGGACCATGAGAGTGGGATTGTCATCCTGGAGGTCTGAAGGACACTGTGGAGTTCTGGAATGACCCCAGGATTTGGGATCAGCATTGCAGGATGCATCCACAGGTGTTCTGACCTGCAGTCCCCCTCTAGCCCTGCTCTAGGCTTACCCCAGTTTCCTTCCTCAGCCTCTCATAGAAGAACCCTTCCCATGTAACCCTGTGTGCTCTTATTGTCCCCTCAGTGTGTCCCTCTTTGTCCCCCAGTGTCCCACCCAACTCCTAGTGGCCTCTCACCGCCATGGCCCTCCTGGCTCGCATCCTGGCACTGCTGGTAGTGACCGTGGCCACCGTGGCCATCAAGGTGGTGCCCATGGACATGGCCAGGGACTCCTTCGATGACCAGTACCGGGGCTGCGGCCCTGCCATGACCAAGGCATTGCCAGCACTCTACAAATTTGAGTTTCAGAAGAATCCTCTCTTTGCCAAGACCTGGATGAAGGCCGAGGCTGAGTGGCGCAAGAGGGGCTCCCATGTGTCCCCTCTGGCTTCTCCAGCCCAGGCCGTTGCTGTCATGGCCTACACAATGAAGTACCTGTACAAGGAGTTCAACGCGGCAGTGCATGTGGCCGGACGCTCCCGCCAGGAATACCAGAACAACTTCCACTTCAAAATGCTGCATTTCCTGCTTACCCAGGCTCTGGTGACACTGAGGCAGGCTCAGAACGGGCAGTGTCACCAGGTGTACCGGGGTGTGCGTGATGTCCAGTTCCAGGCACAGCAAGGCCAGATGGTCCGGTTTGGTCAATTCACATCGACATCACCGAGCAAAGAAGTTGCCCAGCATTACGGGACCGACACAATTCTCCAGCTCCACACGTGTCATGGTGCGGACATTCAGGCTTTTTCCTATGATCCTAGCAACCGAGAGGTGCTGATCCCGCCATATGAAACCTTTCAGGTCACCCAAGTCATCTGGGATGGGAAGAGGACATGGATCTGGCTCCGCTCCATCGGGACCTTCAGCAAATACAACTGCGCATTGCTGTGAGGTGACAGCACCGGGGACACCCTGGGGGGATGCAGACACTCACTGTGGGCATGGCGACCCCCATGACAAGGCTCAGAGGAACATGACACTCGCTGGGGATGAGGGACAGGAGTACAGGGGCACCCACACTGTGTGGGTGGACAAGGACACCCAGAGCTGGAGAGAAACACTGGGATAGCCAGTGCAGGGAATGCCCACTGACTGTGTGGGGACAGGTACACCCAGTCTTGGGTACAGCCACTGTTGGCTGGGGGCACACATGACAGGACAGAGGGTTTGGGGACACTCACTGCCAGCTATAGGGCACACACTGAGAGTTTGGGGTGAGGGACACCCCATGATGGGGACACCACGTCTAGGAACACCCATTGTGGGCATGGGGACAGGAACACCCATGACAGGACACTGGGAGGGGAACCCCTCAGCTGGGAGGGGACAGGGATATTCCTGCCAGGAAAGGCTAGGGACAAGGACAGAGACAGAGACAGAGACAGAGACAGAGACAGAGACAGAGACAGAGACAGCGACAGGGACATCCCCATACTGACCCTGTCCCTCCATACCAAATGCAGTGCTGTGGGGATGGGCCCTGTGTGCTGTACATGTGTGGGCCAGGAGCCCCATAGCATTCCCTGAAGCCCTGTCACCCCCTGCCACCCCTATGGCACTCCATGAGTCCCCCTAACCCCTGTCACTGCTAAGCCCACCATGAAATCTCTTACACCCCTGGCCCCCCTACCCCACAGCCCCCAAAACCTCGTCACCTGTTGCCTCATGGTCCCCAGCTATCTTGTCACCCCTGACATACCATTATGACTGTCCCTGACCTCCTTACTCCTTTCATGGTCCCCCTGACCCCCCTCTTTCTTCCCCAGAAGCATCCCCAGGAGCATGTCCTGGAGCATCCCCAGAGCCTCCTTCCACCTCAGAGAACTCCTCACCCCACATATCTGGAAGTTACCTTCAGGATCCCCTGAGTCACAAGGCTGGCAAGGCCACTGAGGTCACTGTGGTGACTGTGGTGACTGTGGCAACCATGGCCACCATGGATGCCAAGGTCACTGTCATTGCTGTGGCCACCTCTATCAGCACCATCACCAAGAATCCTATGGAAATAAGACCCCCAAAGCTACTAAGGCCACCACAGCCTCTCTGCCCACCATGCTCACTGTAACCACGAAGGCCACTGTGAACACCTGATCACCAAGACACCCTCAGCCACAAGGATACCATTGCTGCTCTGGTCAGTGCGGCCACCAAGGCCACTGTGCAAAGCAATTCTATTAAATAATTCAATCAAAACAATTCCATTAAATAAATCTGTGACGGCCAGCCAAAAGTGGCAAGGGCTCGATGTCACTCACCACAACAACACTTGTGGGAATGTCTCTTTCTCTCAACCTAGAGGAGAATCCTTGGGGAGCATCCCCTTCCCAGACAAGGAACCTCTCATACATTTCATTCCGAGCAGGAATAGGGGAGAGGGATCTCTGTCTGAGATGCAACTGGACATTCCCAGGGTCAGTTAATGGATGGCCAGGCCAAGCTCTGGTGCTTCACCCTAGTTGTGACGTCAGGGTGGTGATTTGGGCTGATTTTCACCAAATTCAACACCAATATCAGTACAAGACCCCTCCCATTGCAGTCCCGAGGCCACAAATGGGCCAATTATCCCTTGTCCAGATTCCAGGCAAAGCATCCTGCCATATCCTGCACTTCAAGGGGACCTTAAAGGCTGGAAACTGGGAGGTTCAAGAGGGCAAGAGCAGGTCCTGTCCCTGGGGAGAGACAGTCCCCAGTGTCAATCCCAGATGGGGATGATCAGCTGGAGCAGCTCTGGAGAAGGACGTGGGGGTGCTGGTGGGTGACCAGCATAACTGGCCAACTGTCCTGGGACCAGGAGGGATCCATGGGGCACCAGAAAGAGCAGGGTCGGGAGGTCAGGGAGTGTTCGTGTCCCTCTGCCTTGCCCAGGGAGGCACATCAGGTGTGCCATGTACAACTCTGCCCAGTGCTCCATCCAGTTCTGGGCTGCTCTGGACAAAACTCTGGTCTCAGGGAGGATGCTGCCTGGGCTGGGTGGTTGGGCCAGGTGCCCACTCTGGGTCCTTCCAGCCTGACTCATGCTGGGATTTGGGGATTCTGGCAGTTGCGGTTTGGGAATTGTCCACCGGAGGGCAGCAGCAAGCATGGCAAAATCAGTGGCACTGTGCAGTACCAGGGTCCAGCAGCAAGTGGCAGGACGAGCTGCTGGTGCTACCGAGCGCCCGCCCCGCTCCATCCCGGCCCCGGGGGCTCTGCAATGGTTTGCAATGGAGCAACCTTACAGCCCATCCAGTGCCAGCCCTTCCATGGGCAGGGACATCTTGCCCTGGGCCAGGTTGCTCTACAACCTGTGCAGTCTGACCTTTGACTCTTCCAGGAGTGGGGCAGCCACAACTTTGGTATAGATGGGTAACATGGTGATTTGCTCTCACAATTAAGGGATGAATATTGTGTATACATTAAGGGAAATTTTGTTAATTTACAGTTATGTTATTGTGGTTTGTTTTTCAGACACACTCTGTTCCCTCCATAGTCCATTTTCCCACTTTGTAATGCTGCCACCAGATGGCCCTGGTTATCAGGGCTGTTAGGAAAATGTGGAGGGAGGACGTTTACCTGTGCCCCTTGCATGGGGCAGTCGGGAAAGGCAAAGCCTGTTGCTCTGGAGGCATGGCATGACAAAACCTCACCTCCAATCAAACTGCAGGAAGGTCTCCACCAATGGACAGCAAGGGAGAGTCAGTTGGCAGACCAGGCCCTGGAGGGGCTAGGGATATAGAAGGAAATTTTTTGTATGTATATGACTACTTATGGATATGTATTTGGCTGATGCAACACCAGGGGCATAAAAGGTAGAACTGCCATTTTGTGGCTGAGACTCTGGCTGCAGCTAAGCACACCGCTTAGGATTCAGGTAGAACATCTTGCTATCTACCTTTTAAGTAGAAATATTCACCTTGCCAGAGGTTTCCTTTCAGAAAGGAGACAGAAGAGTCCTGTAATTTTGTTCAAGAGCAAAGGAATATGCCATGGGGAATTTCCCCATGGGGTGTCTCAAGTTCCTGGATGATGCAGCCTCCTTTTTATCCCAATTTACTGGCCATATCTTCTACTCCCTTTCTCCATTGCCTGAGGTATTTGGAAAGAGTAGACTTCCTAACCCAGCCACTGCACGTTCCCCTCTCTATAGACCCCTCCTTTCTTTAACACAGACACATGACAATTAAAATGAGCTTTAATTTCACCCTGGATGGGGAGACTAAAATTGATAAGCCTGTTAAGTCTTTGTTCTTCCTGAAGTTCAGGAATTCAACAAGACCTTGGCTGAGCAGCAGTCCGTGTCAATGAAGAACATTTTCTGAAACTGATAGTTTCTCTGGTAACTTCCTTATCTACAAGTCCTTGGCCCTGCCAACCACCAGATTTACACAATCTGTTTGTAATGACACTTTTCTCATATTCCTTTCAGAGCTGAATTAATTGTGGTGCCGAAATAGAATTTGCTTGTGATTAAATCCTGAGTATGTGGGAAAACTCAGATTTTGGGCAAGAATGCAAATGAATGAATTTCCAGAAAAGTTAGGACAGTCAGGGAGATGTTCGGGGAGAGAGAGTGTGGGGAAGAGTTTTGGTTTTCCTGTTCTCTTCATTCACTCTTCTCCCTTTTTTCCCTTTTTTTCCTCCAGGGAAAATGGCAGCGGTGGCCTTGGAGGACACATTTTTCTGGGGGTCATGCTGGCCATGGTGATCGTGGAGACCATGGTGACTGTGAGAAATAACTGCTCACTTTCAAATTTTAAAGGTTTATTAGACCTCAACAACACAACAAAGGGACTGCCAGTGGCTCATCCACAAAATGGTGGCTTCATCTTTTATACCCCCAGTGTTGCATCAGCCAAACCTGGCTTTCCCAAAGTCTGCCATTCAAACCTTCTTTGCCATGTGTTGGTGGATAATTTCTTGTAACTTGACTGGAGGTGAAGTGAAGTGAAGTGAGGTGAGGTGAGGTGAGGTGAGGTGAGGTGAGGTGAGGTAAGGTGAGGTGAGGTGATTTCCGCTGGTTTCCCACGCTCGCTGCTGCCCTCCGGTGGACAATTCCTGAATTGCAACTGCCAGAATCCCCAAATCCCAGAATGGGTCAGGCAGGAAGGACCCACAGTGGGCACCTGGCCCAACCTCCCAGCTCAGGCAGCATCATACCTGAGACCAGGATTGGGTCCAGAGCAGCCCAGACCTGGACACAGCACTGGGCAGAGTTGGACATGGCACTTCTGATGTGCCTCCCTGGGCAAGGCAGAGGGGCATGAACACTCCCTGACTTCCTGGTCCTGCTCTTCCTGATACCCCCTGAATCCCTTCTTGCCCCAGGCCACACAGCCAGCTCCACTGGTCACCCACCAGCACCCCCAGGTCCTTCTCCAGAACTGCTCCAGCAGGCCCCCTCCAGCCTGGACTGGCAATGGGGACTGTGCCTCCCCAGGGACAGAACCTGCCCTTGCCCTGTTGAACCTCCCAAATCCCAGCCTTTAAGGTCCCCCAGAAGTGCAGGATGTGGCAGGATGCTCTGCCTGGAATGTGCCCAAGGGACAATGCCCCATTTGTGGCCATCATGGCTGCACTGAGAGAGGTCTGCTGCTGATTTGGGTTCTGAATTGGGCCAAAACCAGCCCAAATCACCAACCCCGAATTGACAACTGAGGCTAAAAGACCAAAGCAGGGCCTGGCCATCTATCAACTGACTCTGGGAATGTCCAGTCCCCTCTCAGACAGGGATTCCTCTCCCCTGTTCCTGCTTGAAATGAAATGTATGTGATGATCCTCCCTTGGGAAGAGGATGCTTGCCAGGGATCCTCCTCAAGGCTGAGAGAAAGAGGTGTTCCCACGAGTGTTGGTGTGAGGACTGACATTGAGCCCTGCATAAGAATTGTCTCTTTTTGCTG